CACACGGCAGCCACCAGGGCCGCCCCGACCGAGCCCCACATGGCCCGATCGACGCCCGCTCAGGCGGGCATCGCGGAGTGGAGCGCCGCGAAGCACTCCACGTGCGGGGAGGGGGGGAAGGGGCAGGCGGCGGCCCCCCTGCACGGGGCGCCGCACTATCGCCGACCCTTCCGCTGCCTCCCCCCCCCGCTCCGGCGCCGGGCGCGCCCACCGCCTCGGCGAGCCAGGCTCGGAGGCGCGGCAGCGGCCACGCGACGAAGTGCGGCTGGAGGTCGGCCACACGAGCGCCAGGCGTGCGGATCCACGCTGAGACCAGCTCGGCCCGCACCCCAGGCCCGTCGTCGTCCTCCACGGCCACCGCGCCAGCGGGAGCAGCAGCAGCAGCCGCAGCGGGCGCCTCCTCCGCGGGCAGCACGGCGCCCCCCCCCCTCGCCGCCGAGCGGTGCTCCAGGCGACTCACGAGTAGGGGGCGCCACGCCCAGCACCACAGCGGCGGCACCAGGGGCCGCGGCAGGCGCGCCTGCCAAGGGCGCAGGGCGGACGGCCCCGTCCGCCCAGCTGTCGTCCTCGAGGCAGTCGCCGTCGCCGCCCTCTGCACCGCCCGCCTCCTCGGCGGCGTTGGAGGTCACCATGGGCACGTCCTGCGCTCCGCGAGCTCGTCGACGCCGAGCACGACGGCGCTTCCGCCGTGGCCGATAGCCATCAGGCGGGGCGCCAGCCGCGGGAGCGCGAGGTGGCTCTGCAGGGCCTCCACCTCCACCGTGTCTTCCACCACCAGCGGCCGCGGGGCGGGCTGCTCGAAGCTCGGCTTCAAGCATCGCCGCCGCGGCACGAACAAGGCCCTCGGCGGAACGCAGCAGCCGAGCGGCTCCCGCACCCCGCGCCAGGCCAGCAGCGCCGTGCACCGCCAGCGCAGCCCCGCGGGCTGCGGCCAGCGCCGCGCGGCGATCCGTCGCCGCCGCCATCGGAGGCCCGCGGCGGGCCAGGCGGCCCTGCGACGGCGAGCTCGACGCGGCACGGCTTGTGCGTGTGTGCGTGTGTGCGTGTGTGCGTGTGTGCGTGTGTGCGTGTGTGCGTGTGCGCGTGTGCGCGTGTGCGCGTGTGCGCGTGTGCGCGTGTGCGCGTGTGCGCGTGTGCGTGCGCGTGTGCGCGTGTGCGCGTGTGCGCGTGTGCGCGTGTGCGCGTGTGCGCGTGTGCGCGTGTGCGCGTGTGCGCGTGTGCGCGTGTGTGTGTGGTGTGTGTGAATGTGTGTGTGTGTGTGTGTGTCTGTGTGTCTGTGTGTGTTGTGTCTGTGTGTCTGTGTGTGGTCTCTGTTGTGTGTTGTGTGTGTTGTGTGGCGGGGCGGGCGGGCGGCGGCGGGCGCGGGCGGGCGGGCGTGGCGGGCGGGGCGGGCGGGCGGGCGGGCGGGCGGCGGGCGGCGGGCGGGACGGGTGTGCGCGTTGTGCGCGTGTGTGCGCGTGTGTGCGCGTGTGTGCGCTGTGTGTGTGCGCGTGTGTGGCGCGTGGGTGCGGGTGGCGCGTGGGTGCGCGTGTGTGCCGTGTGTGCGCGTGTGGTGCGCGTGTGTGCGCGTGTGTGCGCGTGTGTGCGCGTGTGTGCGCGTGTGTGCGCGTGTGTGCGCGTGTGTGCGCGTGTGTGCGCGTGTGTGCGCGTGTGTGCGCGTGTGTGCGCGTGTGTGCGTGTGTGGGCGTGTGTGGGCGTGTGTGGGCGTGTGTGGGCGTGCGTGGGCGTGCGTGGGCGTGCGTGGGCGTGCGTGGGCGTGCGTGGGCGTGCGTGGGCGTGCGCGGGCGTGCGTGGGCGTGCGTGGGCGTGCGTGGGCGTGCGTGGGCGTGCGTGGGCGTGCGTGGGCGTGCGTGGGCGTGCGTGGGCGTGCGTGGGCGTGCGTGCGTGTGCGGCGTGTGCGTGTGCGTGTGCGTGTGCGTGTGCGTGTGCGTGTGTTTGGTAGTCACATATGCATGTATGGTTTTCTCGCTTGCTTGGCTTCCCAACGCTCCAGGGCGGCCCGAGACGCCTCCAAGAAAGCCCCCAGACTGCCCAGCAGGCTCCCAAGAGAGCCCCAAGAGGCCCCGAGGGCCCCAAGGCGGCCCAAAACGCCTCCAAGACAGCCCCAGAGGGTGTCCAGCCGAGGGGCCCGAGCTGACACTTCGAGCCCTGGCCACCCGGGCCCCGCGAGGCCCCCAGGAAACCCCAAGAAGACCCAAGAGGCCCCCAAGAGGCCTGAGAGGCTTCCAAGAGGCCTCCGCGACGCCCCCAAGAGGCTCCCATGAGAGGCAGCACGAAACAACTCAGGCCCACGAGGGGCCCCGAGTGAGCCACACAAAGCCCCCGAGAGACCGCCCTCCCCCAAAGGATCCTTGGGGGGTCACTCTCGGGGTCCACACCTGTGCCCCCGAAAGGCCGGCGGCGCGCTGACAGAGGGGGGTTCGGCGGCACACGCGATTTGGCCTGGAGCGCCAGCTGCTCCCCAGCGTCGGCTGGCCTCTTCTCCTCTTCTGGCCCCCCACTGCTGCCTCCTGTTGCTTCGTATGCTCCTTCCTCCTCTCTCCTGTACCCCTCCAAGTTCTAACATCCCCCTTCCTCTGCACGGTGGCTGCAAATGCTGCAGCACCACTCCTTCGCAGCATGGTCATTTAGTTTTCGCCTCTGAGTTTGAGAAGCTTGCTCTGTGCTCGGATCTTTGTTGTGCCTGCAGTGACAAGTGATTTCGCTTTGTGCAGCGTCCCATTTTTCCGAGGCTTCCGGAGCACTATGAATTTAGTTGCTGCTCTATCGAGCACCAGGCTGCCACCGCAGCCATAGTTACCTAGCTTTGCATTCGTGTCTTCTTGGGCCTGTGCTCCATCGGGAGCGACTGCAGTGCCAGGCTCGCGCCTCGGGCAGTCGAGCCTACATGGAGGCTTCTGGGTTCCTCCTGTTCCATGTCTTCTCTCAGCCCCGTCCTTTCTTCTAAGTGCAACCTTAGCGGTGCACGGTGCACTGCGAGGCTGCTGCCATGAGCTGCTACTCTGCCAGTGGCTCACATACTCTATGCGCGTTTTGCCTCTGGGTTGGCCAGTGTGTCTCCTCTGTCCGAGTGCTTTTTTGTAGGACTGCAGCTTTCCAGCCCGCGCCGTTACAGTGACAGTTATGATTCTAGAGGCTTGCGCCACATCCGCCGACCACTATATCTACGTAATGGCCTTCGGCCCATCCCGCCGCCGTGCCTGGGTTGTGGGTCATAGGCCTCTTGGATGTTCGTTGGGGTCTCGTGGGAAGCCTCTCGGGAGCCTCCTAGAGGCTGTTTTGAGGCCTCTGGGGATCGTTTTGGGGCCTCGTTTAGGCATCTGGGGAGCCTCTTGAGGCCTCTTGGGGGGCCTCTTGGGGGCCTCTCGGGGCTTCTCTGGGCCGGAGGCTCGGATTTTCGGTTCGCGTTCCCCTTCTTGGGCCCCTCTTGAGGCTGTCTGGGGGCCCTCGTGGGCCGTCTTGGGCGCCTCTTGGGCCGTCTTGGGCGCGCTGTGGGGCCGTCTTGGGGCCTTCTTGGAGGCTTCTTGGGCCGTCTTGGAGTGGTCTTGGAGGCTTCTAGGGACGTCATGGAGCGGCGGAAGGCCGAAAAGTCGAGAATACCAAAATCCTCCACAGATTTTTTCAGAACATTTATGATTTGGCCTCTTGGAAGTGCTCTTGGAGGGCTCTTCAGCCGTCTTGGGGCTATTTTGGGCGTCTTGGAGCGATCTTTCAGAGACTCGGGGCCTACTTGAACCGTCTTGGGTGCGTCTTGGGGCCCTCTTGGGTCGTCGGGGGACCCTTAATCCCCCCCGGCCTGGGGGGGGGTCAAATTCCCAGTTTTGGGGCCCCGGGGGGGTGGGTGAGAAAGAATTTTTGGAGGGGAATCTCACGCGCCCAGAGACCCACGAGGGGTCGGCGGATCTGCGAAAGCCTTGGAAGTGCGCTCACGCGCCCGCGACCGCCGCTAAACAGGTAGACAAGATGTTCGCGCTCGCGGGCCAGGCGCTAACTGTAAGAGATGTCGCATGCGAGGTAACCTCTTTTCTCTCCTCTCCACATCCTCCCAGCAGCTTGGCAGCGTGCAGCTAAACATCTGTTCAACTTTTGTGTTTAAGCCAGCTGGAGGCGCAAAGTCCGGCCTCACTGAGAGGATCAGCTGGGATAAATATTGAACAGTTGTTTGCATGGCTAATTAAACCTGTATATTCAGTCGGATCCGCAAAGGACGGCCTCACTGAGAGGATCGACTGTTTAAACGCAGATTTTAAACAGAATTCGTTTCGCTTTTAACCCTTGTCTGTACGCTGCGCACTGGCGAAAGCGGTCTGGGTACATGCCCTAACGTCCTGCTCTTACTCTTTCTCCTCTCGTTCCTCTTCGTCTCACTCCTCGACGACGACGACAACATCGACGGACGACGGACGACGACGACGACCTCGACGACGACGACGACGGGCGACGGACGACGGACGACGGACGACTGACGACGGACGACGGACGACGGACGACGGACGACGACGACCACGACGACGACGGACGACGGACGACGGACGACGGACGACGGACGACGGACGACGGACGACGGACGACGGACGACGACGACGACGACGAAGTCCAGCGGCCTGGCGGTTCGATGGCGTCGCCGCGCCGGTCGGTCGAGCTGCACGCAGCGGCTCCGAAGGGCCCCAGGGGGCACAGAAGCTGCCTCCGGCCGCCCTCTCCCTCCTCGTCGTCGTCGTCGTCGTCGTCGTCCTCGTTCTCCTTGTCGTCCTCCTCGTTCTCCTCCCCGTCCTCCTCCTCGTTCTCCTCGTCGTCCTCCTCGTTCTCCTCGTCGTCCTCCTCCTCGTCCTCCTCCTCTTCCTCCTCCTCCTCCTCCTTCGAGTTTTCTATCCGACTCGATGACGTTCCAAGAGAATGAGATGCACTTATGGGGATCCAAAGAGATGGGGTTCTTGTTATTGGCGGACCGCGCCGGAGGAACAGAGAGAGAACAGAACACCACCTCACCTCCTCTCACTCAGACCCACTCAGACTCAGTCATCACTCAGACTCCCTCATCACTCAGACTCAGTCAGTCTCTCAGACTCACTCATCACTCAGACTCACTCATCACTCAGACTCACGCATCACTCAGACCCACTCATCATTCGGACTCAGTCATGACTCAGACTCATCACTCATCAGCCAGACCCACTCATCAATCATACTCACTCATCACTCAGACTCACTCATCACTCGGACTAACTCGTACTTGCACTCATACATTTTCTACACTTACTCAGGTCCACTCATCGGATGATTCACACACACTGATGTTGAGGATGTGTCAGGCGGTTCTGTGGCTTCAGCACTCCTAAGGGGAGCGGCGGGGGGGTATTTCCCTCGGCCCCTTTCGCGGATTTGTGTGGGGATGTCTCAGGCGGTTTGGCCATTTTCTCTTCCAACATGCTTCGCTTTCGGGGCAGTTTGCGAGGATGTCTCAGGCGATTCGCTGGTTTCAGCACTTAAGGGGGGCGGCGGGGGGTATTTCCTTCGGCCCCTTTCGCAGACTTGTTCCCCATATCCTAAGTATAGGGGTTCTTGTTATTGGCGGACCGCGCCGGAGGAGAGAGAACACACCACTCCTCTCACTCAGACCCACTCACTCATCACTCAGACTCACTCATCACTCAGACCCACTCATCACTCAGACTCCCTCATCACTCAGATTCAGTCATCACCCGGACTCAGTCATGACTCAGACTCATCACTCATCACTCAGACTCACTCATCACTCAGACTCACTCATCACTCAGACTCACTCGTACTTGTCCTAATACATTCACTACACTCATTCAGGTCCACTCACCGGATGACTCACACACACACACTGATGTTGAGGATGTGTCAGGCGATTCTGTGGCTTCAGCACTCCTAAGGGGAGCGGCGGGGGGGTATTTCCTTCGGCTCCTTTCGCGGGATTTTGTGGGGATGTCTCAGGCGGTTTGGCCATTTTCTCTTCCAATATGTTTCGCTTTCGGAGCAGATTTGGAGGATGTCTCAGGCGATTCGCTGGTTTCAGCACTCCTAAGGGGAGCGGCGGGGGGGTATTTCCTTCGGCCCCTTTCGCCGGATTTTGTGGGGATGTTTCAGGCGGTTTGGCAATTTTCTCTTCCATGCTTCGTTTATCGGAGCAGATTTGGACGATGTCTCAGGCGATTCGCTGGCTTCGGCACTCCTAAGGGGAGCGGCGGGGGGGTATTTCACTCGGCCCCTTTCGCGGGATTTTGTGGGGATGTCTCAGGCGGTTTGGCCATTTTCTCTTCCAACATGCTTCGGTTTCGGAGCAGATTTGGACGATGTCTCAGGCGATTCGCTGGCTTCAGCACTCTAGGGGGAGCGGCGGGGGGGTATTTCACTCGGCCTCTTTCGCGGGATTTTGTGGGGATGTCTCAGGCGGTTTGGCCATTTGTTCTTCCAACATGTTTCGCTTTCGGAGCAGATTTGGAGGACGTTCGCGCCCAGTTCGCGGGGATGTCCCAGGCGGTTTGGCCGTTATGATGCTGGGCATCTGTCGTTTTCGGAACAGTTGTGGGAGGATGTGTTAGGCGATTTGCTGATTTCAGCATTCCCAAGGAGGAGGAGGAGGAGGGGGAGGAGGAGGAGGAGGAGGAGGAAGAGGAGGAGGAGGAGGCAGAGGAAGCGAAGGAGGAGGAGGGAAGAGGACGAGGAGTAAGTAGGAGGATATGAGGACAGCAATGCACCGGTAGGGCGAACATGAAGGGGAGGATGATGATGATGATGCTGATGATGATGGTGATGCGGAGGAGGAGGAGGAGGACGTGGGCAACTTGAGTAGCCAGGGCCAGACGATCGAGGTTCGATGTTCCAAAGCTTCAGGTTTTACTCAAACGCTTCCGCCTCACTCTCCTTCGCTCTCCACTCTCCTTCACTCTTCTGCACTCATTCTCACTCATACTCAGACTCAGTCACACGCAGGCTCACTCGCACTTAGACTCGCTCATATCCATACTTAAACTTACTCACACTCAGACTCACGCTCAGAACCACTCATACTCAGACTCGCTCCTGCTCAGACTCATCATTCTTCGGTCCGCTCAAACCCAGACCGACTCACACTCAGACTGTCTCACATCCATACCCAATCACACTCGGCTCATTCGCAACCAGATTCGTTAACACACACTTTTTCTCACACTCGGACCCACTCAAGCCCATACTCACTCATGCTCAGACTCATCATGCTACGATCCGCTCAATCACAGAGTGGCTCACACTCAGATTCGTCCACACTCGCGCTCATATTTACTCACGCGCATACCCACTCAAACCCAGGCTCAATCGCACCCAGATTGACTCACACTCTGAATCGGTCGCTCTCACATTTGCTATTGGTCGCACTCATGCTTGCAGACTGTGGGAATGTCTCGAGCGAGCGGTTCGCCCTCGCACACAGGCGCTCATTGACAGATATCAAGAGAAAGACGAACCAAGATAATGAGATGCACATATGGGGAG